GAAGGCTCTGCTACACAACGGCACTCACGTGATTTCCTCATGTCAAGCAAGTACCTCCCGACGCTGAACTCCCTTGCACGGAGTCCTTGGGCTGTACGGAAGTGCAACGCTTTCCCACACTGGATGCTGATGAAAATGTCTTGCTCTCACCTAGACCGAGAGGTGACACTTCCCAAAGAGACGTTCTCTGTGAGAAATACAAGTGATGCTAAGTTTCAAACCTTACATTTTTAGCAGAGCTGCTGAACAGATATTCCCTAGGTAACGAGTACTATTTTGTACAGTTGTTCACCACCCCAGGAAAGGAAAGAGCTTTTGTGTTTTTCCATCAAGCCTCTCAGCAGGAGATCCAAACCAATGAATTGTTTTGAGACAAGTATTTTTGAAAAGGGGTTAAATGGAAAGAATTTTCTACCCTTAGCTAAACTGAGCACTAGCTAGAGTGCTGATAGCCTAAGTCAAGCTATAAACAAGGTCTGTGTACGTTCTGACTGGCAACCTCAAAGTTAAAAACCACCAAAAAATGCTTTAAATTCCTTGATGGTTTATCCTGCTTTGCTGCAATGTCCCTCAAGATCAAAATTAATCCTTGCTGAAACACTAATAACCTCGATGAGACCTTACGGAAGGGGTGAAGAACAGATAGACACTAAATCTGTCTTCTCTCAAACCACCCCTGTAACGATCACCTCGCGGAGGAGGCACGCTAGAGCTATGGCTTGTTGGAAGGCAACACAAAATGCCAGCGTCCTCCAGCCTCACACACGCTACAGTGTGACAAAACGTCCCAGAGGACCTTACTGCAGAAAACCCCAGCCTGGGAGCATCCCCTGAGGTGAGACTAGCATTATTGCTAGTGCTCAGAGACACTCACTCATCATTCCTCTCTGCCGGATTTCTCTGAACTGCCACATTTCCAGTACGTGAATGCCCTTCACAGCCTTAAAAGCACCGGCTGGGGCCACCCTGCGCTCCCCAGCAATGTACGGCAGCTGGCTGCCTTCCCATGACCCGCTGAAGACTAACACCAGTCCTTTGCAGCGCTTTGTTTCCTTTAAATGCCATACTAAAATGCCATACTAAAATGAAGCTTCAGCACACAACTGTAGCACAGCAGACCACAAGCTAAGATGTTGAACAACTTGTTAAAGGCCAAATTAACCAGCTCACCCCACTGGCTTGCTTGGGACCGCATCGGGGTACGACTAACTAAGGGTATGATTTTTTCCAGTGTGGTACCCATAGCCCTCACAGCACTGTTAACATAGAAGATCCTTCCGAAAGAAAATGCCGTTTCACACCTGCCAGCGGCACAGTGTAACACAATCGTTAGCCCTGTACGCACACACACTTTGCAGGACTCATCCACCTTTCCTGGAGGCTGCTCAGAATTCCTGATCCTCGGTATTTCTGAAGGGACCTCAACATGAACATCCCTCCTTGCGAGACAACGCTTTAGTTTTAGTCAGACACAGCCACAGGCCAAACAGGAACCCTAAATACTACGTATTTAGTAGCACAGCCACAGTACCAATACGCACAGGCTCCTTATTTCTGCTTCTGCCTAGTAATTAGAGGGTACGTAAGTCCTCTTTTCAGGAGGAAATGAGCAGGGGTCAGTGCTGACATATCACCCAGCCTGCCTTTCTGTAACAGGTCGTTCCAAAGGAAAACATTGTCTGTGCAGACAACCACTCTCCTCTCCCTGTCCATCTTCCCAAACATTACCCAGATCTGTTGGCCAATTTCAAGCAAATGTGACAGTGCATCAATATTTTTCAGACACTTTGTGCACAGTGGTGAACAGAGAGGGAGAAGGACATGCTCCTCTTCCCTGGGGGTCCCACAGGACGATTCAAAGACTGTCTCACAGATGCAGAGGAGTTTCAGTCACTACTGGGTCACAGAATTTATCACTTACCAGAGAATCTGTCCACAGGACAAAGCCCCAGGAAAAAAACATCAGACGCTATTCTGTTATTTATGGACTTTTTCATTATTGTCACCTCCCTAACCTCAAGTCCTGGGTTTTACTGTTATCTTCCAGGAAGTGACCCCAGTTTCTCTTTCCAGTGACGTATGGCTGGTGTCAGAAGATATGAAACAAAAAAGCTTACGATCCTGGGGGGGGCGGGAGGAAGACTATCTATCTCCTTTTAGTGCACGTGACTGATCCCACTTCCAATGAAGCCAAATGTTTCATCCATTTCAACAGGGCATCACAGAAACACAGACTACAAACTGGGAGCAGCAAGTGAAAGAGAACAAAGAGCAGAAAAGCAGGAGGCTGGAGCTCACTGGCCAGAAACAGATGGTAGCAAACAAACAAAAGGAAAACACAACCACAAAACCTGGAAAATGACAGGTCTGTATAGTTAACCCCATTTCTATTGACCTACAGATTTCTTGAGACAGATGGATTCGAGACCATCTTCGTCACTGACATGCCTCTAATGGAACGGACATTAAAATGACCTTCAAGTGACAACTCGCCATGGGATAACCATGACAAATGCAGCCTGATAGTCATCTCCACCTTGTCTGCAGACACGAGGTGACATACTGTAATACGCTTGTGTCAAAAGAAGGAAAATGCTGGATGGTCTTTTTAATGGGTTTGTCCATAGCAAAAGGACCCACCGGAGATCTAATTTACAGGGGTAGGACTTGACAGAATGAGCTTACGAGGGAGCTGTGCACACATGCATGTGTGGGAACTGTGTGGGCAAGTGGCCTAAGGAAAGCACATCCAATTCTGGTTTTACAGGAAAAGTCACCTTATTCTTGTAAAATTAAGCAGAGACTAGATTTAAAAGCTTCTGCTACCCTACAAGCACAAAAAATAATGCAGAATAACAATAACACTCCTAAATTAAACCATAAAAAAAAACTTCACTCAATTTTGCAAAGGTGAAAGGAAAATGTGATTCTGTGCCCAGATTATCATATGGCGAGAATAAGTGTCGTTCTGGATGGAACTAGAGTTGGTGTGGTGGGCAGACACCTAGGGCCGCAGAGCAGAAGACTGCGAGCGAAGTGTTTCACCTTAGTCTCTTACTTGCAAACAAGTAAAATGAGGCCTCAGAAGCAGCACAAACCCCACAGTATTGTGCATTTAAAAAAAATATCAGAATTGGGAACCCAAACAGGGACATGCTTTCAGTGTCTTTATCTTTTGCGGTGCAGGAAAAATATTTTTTTCTTTTTTTTTTCCCCCTCCCTATACCACTCCCCCATCTCCCAAGGACAGAGTATGGACACAACTGAAACCTTCTGTGAGCACTTTTCTGGGGAAAGCCCAGTAAATCTGATTTGCTCTACTGCATCCCTTAGAGTTCAGTAATATGAGGGACCATCTGAGCTTCTAAAGAGAGAGAGAGACTTGACCCTCAAGGATTTGGATCCGCACCTTTGGATACTTGTTCTGTTTTACAAGATTTCAGGGTGGTTATAGAAACTTTGGTGATACTTTGAGAAGTGACATGACCTTAAAGCAGATCTGACACATGGACTATATTCTGGCTTGCCACGATGGGGACAATTCAGGAGAGTCATACATTTTTAAGCAGAAGGCACTATTACGACCATCTAGCTGATGTCCTGCATAACCATACAATTGGCCTGTAAAATAATCTAAAAATAATTTACAGTAACTTCTGAACCAATTAGTCACCTTGACCATTTCAGCACAACAAATCAGACCAACAAACGGCGAAGCGAGGAGTGACAGACCACGTGAGGTGCGAGCATACACAAAAGGCCAGAGTCCACAGCGCAGTAATAACCTGGTGCAGAACAGCCTCAAAAACCCAGAGAAATATTTCTATCACATCAGAAGCTATTCAAACCCCAGCTGAAGGCTGCTAAGACCTGCCCCAAAGGACCCCCAGCACTACAACAACCAACTCCTTGTCTTTAGCAGTTATTATAAAGGCTCTTAATTTTGTTTTACTCCTGGTCCTCTTCCTGGCTGGGTGACTGCTGCTAGCTGAGGTGTCAAGGCAGGTGGCTGGTGATGGAAGCTCAACTCCTGCTATATTTTCCCCATTGTATTTGCACTTGATATCCAGACCCCTTCGAGGTCACAACACTAGAAAAGGAAGGAGATGCCAAACTGGCCCTGCAGCATACGAGCAAACATTTCAGACACATTTATTCCAACCAGAGACACGTCACTGTTTTATACCAACTAGGAGAGCAAAGCCATTCCCCACCCCTGGGAACTTCAGTGTTTCTCAGCTGTGATATTCCTTTCCCAAGTGGCCATTTAAAACAAACAGGAGTATCAGGAAGGAGGAGGTGCTGGAATAGCTACAGAGAGAGAGTCATAAATAAATACATCCCACTGGTATTCAACTGCTCAACATCAGTGCTGCCAGTGGTCAACACTTTCAAGGAGAATAATAATGAATAAATAAATCAGGCCTTGCTAGAGCTGAAGTTTCCCACTTTTCACCACTCAGAAGACTCCCAAACCTTGTGTCATCCACAGATTGTATGAACCCCAAACATAAATCCAGGCAGCATTTCTTCTTTGAAAACCTTTGGGCTCCATTTGTTAGCCTAGAGCTCCATTCAGCCTGTGGCAGACTCCTGCTCCTGCCAGGTCACCTCCCAGAAGGAAGAGGAACAGATGTACTGAGCCACTGGATTACGTACACACAAGCAAAAACAGATTGAACAGCAGCAACCTGATCCAGATTTAAGAAGCAAATTTAAAAAAACAAACAAACAAAGCAAACAGAAATTGTTCATTACAGCCATAGAAAGATTATTTCTCTACTCAAGCATGTATGTTGTGCCTCTTACAGGGATGACACACTTTGGAGGAGAGTGGGGGAAACATCAGCATATTTAAACACAGGCAACTCAGCACAATGAAAAACTCTACTGCAGACTCGCTCAGGATCTTCTCACCACAGGATCGAAGGGCACAAGAAGAACGAAGAGTCGGCTAAAGTGATACGAATGACCAAGATGGAAGAACACAACTCATTTCAGATACAGAAATGTTTAATGGCGTTAAAGTGCTACTTTAAAGGGGATCATATGCTAACATTTAAACACAATTCCACTGCACTGCTAAATATGGTTGTCTTTATTTTTTTTATTTTACCTCTTTTCGCCCAACCCTACCTAAAACAATAAAATAAAATCTAAAGGACTGAAATTAACAACCCATTCAAATCAGCAATAAGTTATGAATTTTATAAAGCATTTTTTTCCTCTTTTTTCTTAGTAATGAGGGGTAGTTAAATTACTTAAAGATATACAAAGTTTCAAACAATGCCATAAGTGAGGACTCTATTAAAGGTTTTTAAAACTTGGAAAACAAAACAATCCTGGCCATTAAAAAGACAAAAATAAAAAAAAGCAAAGCCCTCAAAGTGCAGGTTAGAACGCTCGTCTCCAAGAAAATTAGAAAACATTCGCTATAATAGCTCTTAACAGCACCTGCACAGGTAAGATGGCAAGGCCCTTGGGAACAGGACGTGCAGTCAAAATGTTACATTAACATGAGAGACGTGCTGAGCTTAACTAGGTTAACTACTGGACCGGAACTTCAAAGGTCAGCAAAGGGAATGATTCTAAAAAGAAAACTGAAGAAACCCCCACCAAACCTGGGCTCTTCCAGCTAGCACAGCCTTCATTCACTGTGTACATGGCAAAAAAGCATCTTTGCATTTCATTGGGTCAAGTGCTTCATCAAAACAGAGATCTTCTCATGGCATAAATTCATATAAAAGACATCTAAGGTTTTGTATGGACAAGCTCTAAAAAGACACATCAGACTTGGGGTGTTTTCCCTCCCAACACATTTACAAATGTTTATCAAAAAATCTCTTCAAATAAAAAGGTCATAGTGGCTCAGTATCTGGGCACGACTTTCTGGCATATCACCTCTCGTATGTGCTGGTTTCTTTCTGTCCTCAGCTGGTCGTGTGCCTGCGTATGAGCACGCATCTACGGGGAGATCTGCTGTCAGTGTCACAGCCTGAGGTGTGACACAGCCCACGATGTGCTGGTAGATTACAAGTGTGTACCTCTTGCTTTAGCCACGCATCAGAGGTACTTGCTTTTTAAATGATGTCCAACAGAAAGCTGAGCTGAATGGTGTTTTCTCCTGAACATCTCTCTTTGCTGCCCCTCTCTCTCTGGGCACAGAATGAGACCTTAATCATTATTGTCATTGCTATTCCTAGGCTAAGTAAGCCTTCTTAGATTTCCTAGTACATTATGACAGCATTGGATTGTGATAAACTGTAGGACACGGTCCTTTTAGGACCACAAAAGCTCTTCAGAAGGGCCTAAACTAGGTTGTTCAACCTGAATGCAACGTAAGAAATTCTGACATTTTTCAGATCTCATGACAGAAAGAGAGGGATGAGTCTCTAGTATCCTCTTTCAAACAAATAAATTCAAAACAAAGTGTTTCATCACTAAGGTCTAGATCCAGGTCCCACAGAAACAAACGGATTTCACCGACTTCAAAGGGACTAGGGTTTGGTCTAACTTTTTGCCAGCAGGACTTGGGATTGGTAACATGACCAAATGGAACACATGTGGGTTTCTGTGGAGGCTTCCTTCACCCAAAAAGCTTTATATACAAGTCTCTCCAGGACTAGTTGTCAATATGTAATTTCTGAAAGAGGATACTGGCATCTAGGACCCAGTTTGATCACCCCAGTGAAATCATTCGCCCTGCACTGTTGTCTCACTTGGTTCTAGGAAGCAAACGAGAGCTTGACACTGGCGCTGGAGTAACCCTCATCACTCCCAATACTCTGCAAGCTGCTGTGATCATCAATGTCACTGATGCTGGTTGTGCTGATATTGTCCACTTCTCCATGGGAGAACTCTGTGCTTTCAACGTCCACTTCAATCTCTTCTAAAAAGGAAAATGAGAGAAATGCACACAGGTTAGCACCACACACTCAACCGCTCCCTTCAAGCCAGCAAGCTGCTGGGACTCCCCCAGTCAGGGACGAACCAGCTGTCTGTCAGGAAGACTTTCGGTGTACTCTTTTGGAGCGGGATGGGCTGTGGACATGACTTATAAAAAGACTAGATATCAGCTTGGACTTTTTCCTAAGGACTCGGCAAAGGGGTCTGACTCCTCCAGCGTGCAGGCCATGCTATCAGCACAGGTGGGCCACCTCAGGTGCTGAACTTGTTCCTCTACCTCTTTCTTTGGAGCTCTACTACCCCAGTATTGGAAACAAAAAGAAACACATAAATCTGAGGGCAACAGAGAACACGGAGCACCCTGGAACATGCTACTTGCTTGATATCACGTTGCCAAAGCTGGCACCACTCGCACAGGGCATTACACTGCATTACCATAGGGATCTGGGTTACCCTCAAGATGATCGGTGGATTTTAGAACATAATTCTTTTTTTTTTTTTTTTTTAAGAAATACTTAGAAAACAGAGATCTAGTTAACCAGACATCTTGGCTCCCATACCGTTAGGAATTTTACAAAAGGATTTTATTTTTTAAAAAAAAAATACAGACTGATGCCTAACTGTACAGCATCTTTGGGTCTGACAGTGAATATCAAAGCATCTATTGTGCCTTAATATTGCTCCACCTCAGAGATATTTAAAAAAAAGACAATTATCTCAATCCGGTTAGCCATTCAGATAATCTCTATCTAGTTTTAACTGAGCAGATGAACTGGGAAGCTTGGAAAAAAGAGGGGAGGGAATGGAGAATGACTCCAGGAATTTTAAGAGGCAATTTGCTTGGTTATACCATGGTACCTTGGTTATACCATGGCCTAAATACAGAATGAGAACCTGGATGCTGCTTTGCAATATCTGTTCCAGTCCCACTAATACCTTCTTAGATTTTCCTCTCCATGTTGCCAAGAGGTTCAGTAGACCAAAGAGTGCATTGGATATCTCAAATTTACCATCAGGTATTAAGTTACCATCTTGCGATCACATTATTTTTCCTAACTAATGCTTTGGCATTTTAGACAGCTTTTCAGAGAAACGGATCACTTTAAATGCCACAGAAATCAGCTCAAGTTGCCAATAACAACAATTCTTCCAGACTTAGTTAGAACTCATGCAAAATACTAAACTCTTCATATATACATATATATAAAAAAAAATAAAGTGTGTATGTGCATGCATGTGAGCACAATCAGTATCCTAAATACCAAAGGCCATAAGAAGGGGTTAGCTGAGAGACAAGAAATGGATGACTCTCATGCTCTTGCTTCGCAGAGTCCTGGGGATTCAGTGCTATTTCAGCAACACCCACCTCGCTCTGAGTCCGAGCGATCTGAGGAAATGGTAGATCCAATGCTGTCCATTCGTATTCGCTCTATCTCCTGAAGACCCTGTAGTTGTTCCAGTCTTCTCTTTAGGAATCTTTGTTCTCGTTCCAGATTCTCAAGCTGGTGTTGGCTTCTCCTCTCAACCTCTTCAAGTTTCTGACATGATTAAATGTGACTCAATAATTAGTTTCGTCCTTTTCTCCTTCCCTCCCACCTCCACTGTCCAGCCACCTGCTTTGCTTAGACCGTCCCAGGTCCCAGAACCATTTGAGCTACAAAAGAGCCCTGAACCAAGCTGCCTTCCAGTCTCCAAGAACAATACCATCTCCTCATATCTTTTCCACCTTCCAAGTCCTGATAAATCATACATATTAGTACAAAAAGTCTCTGAGGGCAGAACCTCTCCAGGGGAAACAATTTGAATTGCAGCAGTTTGTGGGTCATTCCGCATGGGCTCAGCCACTTGCATTACCAGATCTGTCCACAAAGGGGCCTCAATTCCCTTAACCAAACCCATTCAGAGTTTGTTACAATTCACTGTAACATAGAAACGTGCCCTGGGAGTTCTGTGTTCCTTGCTGCATGGTTTAGTAGGATTTCTCAGAAACAGTTTTCTATTCACTAAGTGATTTACATAACCTACTACAGATTTCTTTGATCACAGCTGGGAAATCTACCAGGGCACTGTTCTTTGTTTCCTACAACAAGCACATTGCATAAGGAGGAGTCATTTCAGGCTGTGTCCCTTCGGCAGTGCTTTTTCTTCTTCACCACCCATCCTCCCTCCTGCTATCCTGACCTGCAACAAAGTATTTCAGCCTCTTCCAGATACTGACAATGCTGCATTTTATTTTCATGCTTCGCTTTGCCAAAAGTGAATCTAGAAGAGCGCTGGGCTAGCTGGCAGGCTCACACATGAAACTCCAGCAAGCCGACCCTGTCTCACACTCTTGTGTTTTGTGCTAATGCTTCAGCAATGGAAACTCAATAGCACATCAGAAAAAAAAGCTGCATTTTCCATCAAAAATGCAGTCACTCAACAGTAGGTAGGTTTTTCTTTAAAGAGTTGCAGCTGCCAATGAACAATCACAATATAGAACAAGACCCCTGCTCTCCAAATCAATCATTTCTGTAGTTAACGGAGTTCATTATAGACTCTTCTAACAATGTGGCTTGTAGTAAGGATAAATGAGTAACCAAGGGGGCAAGGCTTGCTTGTCTTTTTTTTAAAGGTGTTAGTCTCCTTCAACAGGGTTACCTCTAGGCAGCAAGAGTGAGCAATTGAATTGCACTTCCCAACAGCCCATTCTGGAAGCAGCTGGGAAAAGCAGCTCTTACCTTGATATGTGCTTTGGCTTTGTTGAGCAGCCCAAGCGTTGTGTGCCTGGTGCAGTCTGGTCCTAGCGGTATCAGAACTTTTAAGCGTTCTAGACACAGGCGGAGGTGAGCTCGGCTGCAAGGGGAGAAAAGGAGGATCAGAACTATGCTTTCAGAAAGGGAATGTCATTTCCTTTTCTACTTCCCTCCTACGAGGCAGTTTTGATGTTTCTCTCTTTCCACACAACACAAAATTCCCCACAGGTACCAGGACAGACTGCTACTCAACTATTTACACTGCAAACATCAGCTGCTCACCGATAGTTGCATTATTGCTAACCTCTGACAGACATTGTTTATTTTCTTGCTGTCTGAACTGATAATATGACTCATCTGGATGAACTTTGTGCAGGGGCAAGGCACACAGGCAAATGGTACAAGTATCTTGTGGGTTCTCTCTCTCTCAGCTATTTGCTGTTTTGCTGAGAACTTTTGTGAAAGCAGTTTCAAACGACTGCTACCCCTTGCACATTTGTGCATTGCTGGCTCGGGGACATCTGCTATGAACTGATCTAAGCACCGTCTTTTTGCACAACACTAAGAAGATCAATGAGAAAAATGGTCAGCCCAAAACACCCAAACAATCCCTGCTGGCAGTTAACGGAGCTAGAGGGATGGTAGTTACCAAGAACTGCACTCTTACTCCTGCCTGGGCCCAGATCTGGAACGCTGCTGGGGTGCTGTGTGAACAGGAGAACCCAAGACCTTCCCCAGGGCAGTCTTCTGACCTTGGCTCACATCTACAAAGGCAGGCTCAAGCACCACAGCGTAGCTGATGATCTGAGCCATTTTCTGCAGAATAGGGAAACACTTTCTGTGGAAAATGGTTGAGGCAGCAGTGGCAAAGCACATCATCCTCAAGCTGTGCAGGGAAACTGTTCCTGCTGCCTCCTCCTCTGTATCACGTATGCAGGAATAAAGAGCAGATTTATGGAAGACTATCAAGTGTTGGTTGCCTTTTTCCCCCCTTCCCTCTCTCTCAGACATTAATGATTTATGTCCAAACTTGTCCTCCCAATCAATACCACAATGACATCAGCTCCCCCATTCACATGCAAGAAACAACAGTGCAAAAGAGTCCTGAAAGCCTATCCCAGCCACTGCTCGTGCACAAAGAAACTGAATCTTAGTCTGATCCATCTCAATGCTGGGGAAGACAAAAACAAAACAAAACAAAAAAAAGCATGGACAGTTCATTTCCATTTGTTTTTCAATTTCACTATTGCACCCAGTTTGAAAGAGGTGGGGGAGAGGAGTCTGTAATCAGGCAATTATGTCAGTGACAAGCAAGGATGATTAAGGGTGGAAGGGTCAGGGGTTTTGCTGATGAACTGTCAGCACAGGGGAGTATTCACTAGCGGTGCTGTAGCTGTGAGCTCCTCACTGTTTCTATTATAAATCTCTTTACAAAGGGTCCATCATTCTGTCTCAATAACAGCCACAGGGCTGCATATGACCAGCAAGGCCCTTGAAGAACATGTGTTTTTCATTAAATATTAACACTGGAGGGGTAAGGAAAGGGAAATCAGAATCCAAAAATCAAATTAAAAAAATAATAATCACATCAATCTCATCTCTTAGTTCTCAGCTTGCTCTAGGGCAAACCCCACTGACATTAAACTCAGGTGGCTGACATGGGGGGATTTTTTCTGCCTGGAAGCTCATTTTCATCGTAGAGCTTGATCAACAGGAGTTGTGGGCACCCACTACAGGTGTTTGCCCAATGTTCCATGATGACCTGCAGGGCCAGCAATGAAAAAGCATTGCTGGTTCACACTGGCACTATAGTTCATGTCATCCCATGGGAGACTGGACACTGACTTCTGGCAGCTGGAGAAAGGAGGAAGAGGAGGAGGGTCTTGTGGTTAAAGACATTCTGGGTTTTGAACCCATTTTTGGCTATGCCACAGACTTCCTGAACGACCACAGAAGCAAGTCACCGAGTCAGCACTGTCAGAGCACAGCCATCAAGCTGCAGCAGAAAGCAGCATGTGTCTCTTCACGGCACTAATAGGAGCACCAGCCATACACCTCACTTATGGGATCAGCCCAAGTTAAAAATGCAGCTCAAGTAGAGATAAAGATGTGTGCATAAATCTGGGGGCTGAGGAGCAGGGCCGGTTCCACCTAACAGGGAACTTGCTACAGAGCACCTGCTATGGGTTAGGGACCACAAACTACCCCCTGCCCTGCTGGGGCAAGGGCAGCTCCCAGCCCATAGTGAAAACTGAATTATTTGTGCAACAGAAAACAAGAAGTTTGACACTGGTTAGTTGTTGACTCCCCAATCGTATCACAGGCCATTCCTGAACACAGAGAGAAATGGACAACGCATCTACAGCCTGAGCTTTGGGCTGAGTCTCAGCACAGGAGGTTTTACCAGGAACCGGGGAAGGCACTGCACCAGGAACTGCAATTCCTGGAACCAGGCATCAGCTCGGGCAGGAGTAAGCACTGGCTGGACTGCCGAGACAGCGCTTAAAAGGATGGCACTGTGATCTGCCACGTCAAAAGCTAGGTTATGTGCAGACTCAATGAGATCAACCATGTTAAGCATCTGAAAGCTATATGCAAAATCCAGCCAAGTAATAACACCCTGGACACTGAAACACTTCCCGTTGTGCTCCAGGACTACAATGGATTGAAGAAGGTTGCTCTGCTCTGCAGATGCCGACGAGGGCAAGGAAAGGACAAAGCAGTCAGAGGGTCTGTCCTCATGAGGACAATGGAAAAGTTGGCAGAAAGTTACTTCCCATCACACGTGGCCCCAAAGGGGACGTCCCCCCATTTCTAGATCCCCACATTGGCTCTGAAAGCATGGAAGACCGGCTCAGGCTCACCCGGACGGTGTTCAGAGAAGCCACTCCTGACGGCAGGCCCCCCGGGCCGATGC